TATATATATATATATATATACGTTTTTAATTTAAATCGATATTCTTAAAACTTTTCTCCAAATATTCCGGATTCTCCGAATATATTTTTCCGTATTTAAATGCGAAGATATGAAATGCGTCGCGCCCAAGAATTATTAACAGCACGATTCTTAAGCGCGTGTGGTCGAGTCACTTGCGCGGCTCCTAACGACACGTCGCGCGTTCGATAATTAATAATTAACCTGCCCCGTCGCGTCTCTCCGCCCTTCTTCGTCCCCCTTTCTTTCGCGCCCTCTTCCCTCATGCGCGGCGCGGAATTACGCGCGGCCGGACGCTTGAAGAATTTCAATGGCTATCGACGATAACGCACACATCGAGTGCCGACTCGTAATCGTATAATTCTAACTATGCGATTACGGGCGCCGCGCGACCGTAAATGAGGCGGCCAGCTCCATCCAGTAAAGTTTTAGCCGCGCTAATAACGCTGCCCTTACTATAAATACCCTCCGGGCGCGCAATTGCAATGAAGTCGTTCGTTCGTTCGTTCGTTCGTTCGTCCGTTCGTCCGTTCGTCCGTCCGTTCGCTCGTTCGTTCGTACGCCCGCGAATACGGCGTAGCCGTAAATATCGTCTCGAATGGACAGAAGCCCGTGATAATCCCCGCAATAAATAGTCAGTTACTGCCGCGTCTTAGAGGTAGCCACGGCTGTGCTCCGGATGCTCGAAAACGCGCGTCTCAATAGTTTCCCTTCCTTTTTCTCTCTCGAGTATCGATTGCTCTCCTTCTCTACTCTTCTATTTGATTGGGTTAATTATCGTTTATTGACGATGTCCATTTACTGGCGGATAAATTATATGAAAGTATTACCCCTACAACAGACATTGCAAGATTTGCAATAAAAATGCTTCGTTGCAAGATCGCGATAGTTTAATAGTTAATAATGACATGGTAAGAAGTCTGCTTATACAAAAAGAATGATTTTTTTTTGCTGAAGTATCTAAAAATTTGACTAGGTACAGATTTGAAAATAATCTTGGGCCAACTAGATAGTTATAATAGGACACTTAAGTATGATGATAATACAAATTTTTGATATTTTAGCCATCAATTTTTTGTTCTACATAATTATTATTTTAATGGTCTAATATAAAATTATTTTCCAATAAACGATCAAATTTTAGGCACTTCACAAAATTGTTCTGTTTATATAGAATTTTGTTTACATATTTTATAATTAATAATATAATATAAAAATTATTAATAATTATTAATTTTAATAATTTTATATTTTATCGTATCTAATAAAATTATTGTCAAAGCCATATCCGGTCAAGTTTTTAAATACTTCACAAAATTATTTTGTTTATATACAGAAATATTTTACATAATTATTTTATATTTTATTGGCCTAATAAAATTATTTTCAAATCCATATCTGGCCAAATTTTTACTCCGCAAATTTGTTTCATCTATATGCAGAAATATTCTATATAATTATTTTATATTTTATTGGGTTAATAAAATTATTTTCATCAGATCTATGTCCGGTCAAATTTTTTACTTTAACAAAATTGTTCCGTCTATGTACAAAAAGATTATACGATTTAACAGCAATGTTGCGGCGAAACAAACTCGTTGCAAACTTGCGGTCGCATAATGTAATATTTTTTAATCGTTTCTTTTTCGAGACGTTATTACTACACCTGTTCTACTGAGTCCCCACGAATCAGGAAGTAGTTATAATCCAATGCCGCCTTCAGGTTAGAGTTTTTTAATTACGATCTCCATGCGCGCAACCACCCGCTGTCATCGCGAAATTAAATCGGTTGATATTAAGACGACGGATATTAAGTTTGGAATTCCGTCAGGTTTTATTCGGGATGCGGCACACGTTCATTCACACGAACGCATTCGTATCATTCTTGGCCCTGATCGACATTGCCATTAGCTTCCGATCCGACAAAAAATTGACAATGTGACGATGTTTTGGTTCTGCCGTTACGAATTGACACCTCTAACCGATGAGCAATTTTTCATGGGAGCCCGTAATAATCCCGCATTAACTTTTCGGTAATTCTCGACCCTCGTAATAAACTGTTGACCGAGCGCAACAATATAATTTATATAGAAGCCACTTCTTTTTACGGTTAATTATGGCGAATTACGGTCGTTATGATAGAAGATCCATTAAGCCGCCGTTGGTTCTGATTAGAAGGAGAAGAAATACGCGAGAGAAAGGAAAACGATGTGCCGATTTATCTCCGATTCGCGTGAGATATCCTTTGTGATGCCGCTTTTTATATCGGGTGTCTCGCCACATCTGTATAAACTATATTTTGTATGTTAAGTTCTGTCAGATTTTTCTTAATTTTCATAAATAATATATAAGTTTATATATAATTTTATAAAATTTTATATAATTTTGTTTTTTATCAATAGAAATAATAAATAAATACATTAAAAAATAAAAATTCTCTCTAATAAATGAATAAAAATTGTACAGACGGAAGTTAAATTTCTTTATTTCACAACGAACTAATTTTAATTTATTTAACAAACTATAAAATTTTAAATTTGACCGATATTTGGAGATAGTTGAGACAATTATGTTTAGTCATACTTTGTCAATCCACGAATTGTCCCTCGAAAAGAGATTGTCGCAGCAGCCAGCAGCAGCAGCAGTATTCGGCCACTCGGTTAATGGCACGTGGAGTCCTTTAATCGATAGAAAGGAGCGCGTGTCAGTTAGGTACTCTCGCATCCTACGATAACGCGTTGTATTTTGTGAACATACATAATAAAAGGCATATGCATAATAAAAGAAATAAGATCTGATTGTACCAACATGACTTAAACATGTATGTTTTTATTTTTTTTTTTTTTTTTTTT